AAAGGATGATTCTCGGTCCCAAGCTGGTTCGAGTAGGTGTTTTTCAATTTATTGTTTCCATTATTATGTAAATTATGTGTGACTACTTACTTTTTGAATTATTTTCAGTCCCAGTCGGAGAAGAACATCTCCAAGTGTACGAAGCCGTTTGTGTGAAATACTTGCATGCATTTGTCTTCAAACTACCTTGTAGCTTTACCAGAAAGCTTTAAGAATGTGATCCCATTTTTTTACCAGTTGCTTCGCCATTTTACTGCGTTGACAACGTCGACTCTACGTGCCATATTTGTGCGACGGTTTTGACAAATTTTGGCATTTTGTACCGATGCCTCCCAAATGTTTTGTTGGAGAGGTGACACGCCGACTTGACGAAACGAAAAATGCTAGTTGTGCTTCCTGCTAATCCTTGAGTACACTTTACTGAATTTCAGTGATTTGCTAGAAAAACATATGCGAAGTACGTTCCAATCATTCCAATCCATTTATATCACACACGCGTCATGTCATTGTTAGCCGTAAGCTGTTGCATAGCGAATATCGGCCATGCGAGAGAAGTTCTGCTTGCTTTGTTCGAACCAAGAATGATCACTTCACTAGTCGATGGGTCGTGCTAACGTGTCAAGTGCTGCAAATGCATTGTTGTACCTGCACATACTTTACTTCTGTAGAAACGCGCTAAATAAACGCAGGCGCTCGAAATTCAAATGCACCACCCTATTCAGCCTACTTCTCGCCGTGTAACCTTTGTAAGAAATTCAATCTGCTCACTTCGTGTGCAGTAAAATCATTTGAATTGCCTTTACATTCAAGAGCGAACGAGAATATGCACTGAAAAGAAAGCCAATAGCATAAGCCACTGGATCGTGTTTCTCGTTTTAAAAAGTGTTTTGCATAAGCATAGTTAAGCAAAAGTTCATTTAGAAATACACAAAGTTCGAAACGACAGAAATAGCGTATCTTCAACACGCGCTCTGGAATGTACAGTACGGTGGCTATAATGCAGGTGAAGCAAGGAGAAGATTTAAGCACTTATTGGTCACGACGAGTGTACGCCATCCAAGCTTAAGCCAAAGATGGATTCCAAACAGAAGCCACTGCAGGACTGTTCCCTTCCGCCACTTCCAGATAGGGTAGCTGCGGCGGGCGACAGGTTGACAGGAGCTCATCATAGGCTGCAGTTTAGGTAGCGTACATTGGCCGTGATCAACAGGAACATAAATTTTTACGTTAACGTACCTGCATTACTGCTGCGTACTGTACACTGCCAGGAGCATTTTGACAAGACCAGAAATGACGGTTATTTTTACATAAACAGTTTAAAAACACATTCAGTGAGGGTATATTTTTAGTCAGCTGGCGTAATCGCCAGTGGAACTTTCAAACAGTGTCCGATAATGCGTAGCTTATTTCACAGTACAGTTGGTGCACACAACGTAGTTTCCGCGAAAATGCTGCACTGTGTGTCGAATAAAGGCCCTTATGTAATTTTCCCTTATTTTGGCGCTTATTATGGCAAACGGAATCGCAAAAGTTCCAAACCATTTGGTGATATTTGGGTGCAATGGACGCGTTATCCTAATGTCGCGATAAATTATAGAAGCTATGGATACGCACCCGCTGTTGACCGTTGGAGATTAGCTTAAGGATGGGAAACACACGCCCACGCTGTCACTATTTCAAGACCTTACGAGAACGAGTGCAACAGTAACCATGCACAGTAGGCAGTTACGGTTGTACAAAATCTATCAGCTGTCACGCAAGCCTACAACGGCTTCTCCGCTTTGCGCAAATGCTTAAGTCAAAGCAAATGCAATCCAAACAATGTAAATAACTCACTGCTGCTTAATCCGCAATTAGAACTTTGAAAATGACTATCCAATAATAAGTGCCCATTCGTTAACACTTTAATTCCCGTTTAACGATCCATTTTTGGTTAACATTTGTTGGCACTTTAACTCCGTTTGGCACTTTCGTTCAGAAATGGCACAAATGCAGTTTTGGCTATTGCTTTCCTACCGTACCGTTTTGGAAAAATCAAGTACCATTCACTTGTTAAATACTTTTTCTCTTAATGTCGCCTGTTAAAATTTAAAAAAATCAGTTGATCGCCTGCAGTAGCTTGCAAGGAGCGTAAATTTGCCCTTTATTGGGGTCAGCCTTTCAATGAAGAAAAATTTGTTCATTCCGGATTTCGTTCAAAGCAAAAATTAACGCCTAAACGCTTTGCGAGCATTGCTAGTTGTCTTCGCGTTTATTCGAGGCCTCGATTTTTGGTACTTTTTGCCGCAAGAAGAAGCGGGAGTGCGCTTCGGGTTCTGTTGATACGGTTTTCTGAAGTTTTCACTTTTGAATTTTACTTTTACAATTTTTCGGTCTCGTTTTAGCACTAAGCGAACCGGGGCTGCCAACGTGGCTGAGCACTCCGCGTCGGATTGCGCCTTGGACACCGTGATCGACGCCTAAGAGCACTTTTCGTTTCAAAAACTTTTCAAAGTTACACCAAGTCTTGATAAAAATTTTCATAAACGTTACTTAGCGTCTGGTGCTGTCATTTGCGCAAATTAAAGCGACGACAAGATTAATGAAAAGCAGGTTCCATTTGTTGAGTGAATCACTGCGGCGACAGTACAGTATACTATCCGCTTGTTGTCAAGCGACAATTGCCCATGTCCATCAGTTGTTCTAGCGATAAATTAAATACAAGCTCCGCTTATCCGAAGGATCGCCTTGTTCCAGCTACGTCTATGTAATTTTTCTTTGCTTCTTGCTTTTTCGCCAACTCGCTCGAAACAATCGTAGTTGTTTTCAGGCAGGAGAAAATGAAACGCTTCAGCGATAATCGTGTTGGTGCCAACGATGCCGTTAAACGTGTTAGAGATTTGGGCAATCAGTTGTTAGTCCGTCTGCTTATTCCTAGCCGGGTATGCGCAAAATCTTTTTCCTCATCTCCGAAGCTCCCGTTGCCAGTTGCTCATTTGGCTTAGGGAACCTACTGAGACGGTCGTGTAGCAAGCAAGTAAAAGCGCTCTGGCCTACGCGAGTTGTTACCTCGGTTGCTAGGCAACTTGCTCGCCTTGGTTTTGACAAACCTTCGATCGTTTGTTAAACGTTGCGTGTGTGCTCTTCTGTCCACCTAATTACTTAACTATATATGCTTATAAAGAATAGCCAACGTATAACAAATTTTCTTATCTCACTTCGGATATAGCAGATTGGAGTTTACATTCATCTAATCTTGTTTCTTTGCTGCCCATTCAAGAGCGTGTAGCGATTTTTATTTCGTAGGCCGCCGGAGCAGTGATCGGAAAAGGAGGCTCGTTTATTCAATATCTGCGCAGTGAGGTGAGTGGTCCTTTTTTGAGCATACTCGGAAGTCCCGCCGCTAGCAGTCGGGTCGGTTACAGTTTTTGCTAAAATGTACCCTGTTCTTTTTTCATATTCCCTGGCCCGTCCGTCCACTTGGCTGCCAAGTGTGCGACTAAGGCGCCTATCTGTCCACGCTAGTGTGGGAGCCCGTTTTTGACCAATATATTTACCGTCGCGGTGCGTCCGTGTGTATTTGCGCTCACGTTGCGTGTTTGGTATTTCCGGTACAGAAAAACGCTGTCATTAATCTCCCTGACAGTGATAATCCCGAACGGTATGATCGCCTACTCTGGCGGTACCTTTTTTCTTCTTCTTCTTTGTTTTCTTCTTCTCTTGTTCTTTTAGTTCGCTCCACTATGTTCGCCCTAACCCTTTCTAGTTCTCCATTGGCAATATCTTGCTATCAACGACCATAGAACCAACGTCCGTCAAAGTTTTTGCTCTATTGCTTCTCCTCCCCTTCGCCGCTACCTTTGTCCCGGCTCATTTGCATTCCATTTTCAGGGTAGTGTACATATCGTCCAACGACATGCTTAACATCGTTAGCTGCGTGGCCGAAATCATTCCCAAATTGGAAGAGGTAGTCTCTTCTTTTGCCTCCCTTTTCGTTTTCACTAAACGACCGTTGCGCAGGGAAGATACAGTCCCGAAAGCGAATTGCGAGTTCTCATCCATCACAGCCAAGCGGGTGCCGTGATTGGTCGGGCAGGTTTCAAGATCAACGAAATTCGCGAAGTATACACGTGTGGCATACTGTAATTTGTTGTGTGTGCAGGTTCCTTCTTTCCTAGAGTACCGGTGCGAACATCAAAGTGTTTACCGACTGCGCACCAATGTCTTCCGACCGCGTAGTCCAGTTTAGCGGTTCCAGAGATGCAATCGTCAATGCCCTATTCGAAGTTATGAAGCTCTGCCAAGCGGTACGCTCCGAAAAGTATGCGCAGGTACTTTAGAGCATTCGCTCCTTTTTTGCAGACTCCGATACGAGGCGTCGATCAACCGTACGATCCAGTGAATTACGACCTTGACGTAGTGTGCAGTTACGGCGGTTTTCCGCCCGACAAAGCGTGGAAGAATCGACGCCCAATCGGAGGCCAGATGTTGGGCGTTCGTCCAGTGCCGGCTCCTTTCCACGGGTGAACTTTGCCTTTCGGCGTTAATGCAACCTTCTCATTGACGCTTTGGTTGGTTTTTTTCTTATTGTAGCGTTGCTGCGGCACCTCCATTTGCTTCACCAATCGGCGTGTACGCTCAGCCACCACCCACCATAGTAGCCATAATTGACGAATAACCTTTTTTGTGACCAGCAAAAACATGTTAATTTAGTTTGCCGAAGGGCCCTTGCAGACGGTTCGAGTGACCATTCCAAACGATCTGGCCGGTTCGATCATCGGACGTCGCGGCGAACGAATCAACCGTATACGCCAAGAGTCAAGGGCTAACATAGTGGTAGATCCTCCAGTGGCCGGCGCTGTCGATCGCGTAATCACCATCAGTGGATTGCCCAGCCAAATTCGCTTGGGCCATTTTCTGCTACAGCAATGGTAGGCGGATGTAAATGTTTAAAATTCATATTCTTGCTCACTGCATGCAATGGGCGAAAGGGAGCTGGGGCCTGCGCGCAGCCCCCCGTCTGGGTTGCTCTGGTTGGAAGACTAGTGATTTTGTTGTTGTTTATGGGCGAACAACGAGTCACTGGTTTCCTAACCAGCGCAAGCTCGTGATCATTCCCTTTGGCGTCCCCTTCCAACCTATTTCGTTTGTCCCTTGTTGTGTTAGAGAGTGTTTTTGTCTTTTTATTTTTAGTCTACGCTCCATACCGCCGCTCCGTCGTCCAGGCGTTGCGTAGGCGACCAACAGACGAAAGACGTACAAACCAATAGGGGCGAGCGACCGGTCAATCACGTGTCGCAAGTAGTACTATTTCTTTTTTAACAAAACATATTCCATCGTTGAGAGTACAATGTTTCAAAAATGCAGTTACGCCAGCCGTTTGTGTATTTATTGCCTGGCAATAATGAACAATTTCATTTGGGTTAACGATCAGACCTCTGCTCGAGATAACGACTTGTCGTAGTCTTTCGCTGGTCCATCCGGCCAAGCTCCAAATAGCGCTTTGTGCAGCGTCCCCGTATTGGCCATCATTTGGAAACGCACCTGAAAGTTTGGCTGCTGTCACACTTGGCGCGCTCTTGTCGCGGCGCTAAGCATAGCTGGTCTTAAAGTTGGCAAACAGTTTGCCTAACCGCCAGTTGCGTCTTTTCGACCTTGTCACTACCGGGCACTTCTCTGGGTCCGTTTTACCTGCAATATATAGTTAATATGAAGAACCGTTTGGCCCCAAGCTCTGCTCGCTACGGCAACTCTCACTTGTGGAAAAGTGTATGGCGATGGCGTTTTCAAGCGTCTCCAGAATGGCCTCCGCCTCGGCCAAATCCCTAAAAGTGAGCAAGTGTATTTCGGCTGTTTCAAGGGCAAAGGCGCGTCACGTGACGCTCACATTAACATGAGGTTTGGAAAAGGAAAAGCAGATAGCTTTCGAGTTGCCAAATTTGCATTTTTGGCCTCCCTTTGGAGTTGAGCGACGTCTGGTTGGAGAGAATAACGATGGTGTTAACAGTGTACGCCAGGCAACAGCAAACAGAGTTAACGTCCTTCATGCATATGCGCCCACCATCCGATGGACATTTCTAACGAAAGTGGATTGTCCACAATTAGTTAAAAGAGGACAACTTTGAGCCTCTTCGATAGTTCTTAGGCATTCCAAGCAGAAGCTATTGAATCTTACGTGAAGGTGAGAAAACAAAAGTCTGCAGCTTGTTTATCGTAACAGAGATTGGAAAGTCAGGTTGGGTAGTGCCTAGTGGCTGCATTCCGCAACGGAGATGTGCTAGTTGTTTTTATTGAACCTAAAGCGGAAGGCTACCATCGTGATGGGAAAATAAACATTCTTGCTTAATGATAATCAGCGTAAGGTGTGCTGTCTTGGAAGTTGTCATCAAAATTAAGCAGCGCCGTCTCCGCCGGCCAAATGTTGTTCAACGGCGGCGCGAAGCCAATGAGTATTCGTTTTTTTGAGCATTGATTCAGATTCGACCCGATTGGTCTTTTCAGGGGCAATTTGCGATCTCGTTTGCCGAAAGGGCAAAAAATTTTTATCTCGTTGTTGAACTCAGAATCGACCGGAAGACGGCTCGTTAGCGTTTCGAATCGACCAAACTTGCCGTTCGCTTCAATAGGGAATTAAGGAACCAATGTACCTTTTTTAACGCGCTTTCAACGTCTCCCTATTTGGGCAAAAAATAAGGGCCATTGTAAGACTTGGCAGCTTTGATCGTTGACTTAAAAATATACGGCTCTGCAATAGTGTTCGTTGCTGACCAGTAACGACGCTGCCTACAATTTGGGCACGTTGTTTGGCAACAATTGATGACCACAAGCCTTCGTGTGCGACAACAAACGCGTAAATGACGCGTAGTCGGTTACAACAGAATGAAGCCTTACCGGGCGAACTTCTCTCGCTCCGAGTCGTTGCAATTCTGCGACGAGTCGCTGCTTGAGAATTGTCTTGAAGTATGCGTGGCAGCACTGCAACCTTCGACACTTGGCGGTGCGCGGGAATCTGCAAAAGCATTATCCCCATAAGAGAACAATAAGCTTTGCCTACACGTTAGCACGTCGTTGGCATCCCTGAACGTATTGTTAATTTCTTAAATTAAAGAAAAAGCACCGCTGACAAGAAATTGATGTAGTGCTGCTATGCCGCCTTGGTCAGCGTTTGTTGATCGCATAGTTAAGTGAATTTGCACATTATGAATCTATTCACACGGAGTTCGCCCATAACTTAACTTGTCCGCCCCCTCTATCTTCCAAATGACTTGAGGAGCTTGCAGCGATATCCCATTTTGGCTTCTGTTACCCCGACTGCCATAGGTGTCGCCAAATTGTGACTACCAACTCTCACGGTTGTTAGATGGTCATATGACCGAACTTAGACGGGGCGTGAAGTAGTAAATAGCCTATTGCTGCAAGTTTCAAACTTGCAAATAACTTAGTGTGCCAGAAATATCCTGCTTGTTGGATTCACGCGTGTGATAAGATCACAATTGGTGATGTAATTGAATTAGGCTTTAAGCGGATAGAATACGTATGATGATAGTATAAAAAAAAGACATAGGCAATAAATTTCGTCCAATGAATTATTGATCCGTCCCCTCAATGCCGCTGCCAGTATGTTAATATTTAATAGGGAAAACAAAAATTTCAAAACGTCATGCTCGTTCACTTTCCGGCTGTGGCAGCTGTTCCGTTCGGCTGAATGCAAGTAGAAAACACTTCACTACGCAACAATCGCGTAGCGTTAGGAAAACAAAGGCTGTTCGAATAGCTGCGTGAACGTTCGGGAATATAAGTTGTGCGCTTTTTATTAATACTATTGATTTGCGCTCAGTCAAAGGGCGAAGGGGAACTTGAAAATGATAAAATTAATGTAGGCCTTACTAGTTCCTCGTACGACCACTGATGACGGGTCGGTGACCGCGATAATATGAAGATACGTGAAGTAAACAAGAAACCGTGTGCATACATCCACACAGCAAGCTGCAAGCTTGCGTGCAGCTAAGTTCCGAAATTGCCATTGCGCAAATGGTCGGCTAGGATGTACGCATAAAGTTTCACAGTGAACAGTTCGATCACCGTAAGGATGCAATGACTGCGTTAATAAATTGCCCAAACGAATATGTTCCAAGGAAAGTTTTAATAGAGTGAAGCAATATGCAAATTTAATGCCGTACAAGTTGATTCCCAAAGCTTTTGCTTACTAACTGTCAATCCGCCTACTGATCGTATTTTCTTTTTTTTTAAATTGCATCCCAGCAAAGGGGACCTATGTCGGACTTAGGCATTTGAATTTTGACAATGCAAAACTAAGTGTACACTTACCGAAGGAATTAACAAATTCGTCGCGCAAGCTCTGATATCGTCGCATTTCGATTATGAACAAGTTGACGGACCCGATGAACTGATTGGCATGTTTTGTGAATTCTGAGCTATGACAAGGCTCTCGCGTTTCGCTGCAACAATGGGCAATGGGTGCCTACAGCGGCAAGTCCATCCTCCGCCCACCTACCTTTTCAACTGTGGCAGTATGCAATTCTTGGCGCTATCGCAAGTTTTCAGGCACTGATCCTTGAGGTGCAGCAAGTCTTCCCGTAAGTGAACGGTGTCCAAGTGGGTGCCGACCAGCTGCACCAAGCTTTTGTACGTCGCCACCATATGGTTGATTTCGTGGACTAGCTGAAATTAAAAAAACACTTATGCAGGAGAATGTTAAGGCATGCAAAACGTTCTCAGCGGACAGCTGGCCAGCGAAAAGTCATTGGTAGGGTAACCTACCAGCTGCGCCTCCGGTGGGATGTCCCCGTTTTGGATACAAACTGGATTCATGAAAGTGTCGCTGGCAAAGAACAACACCAAAGCCTTTCAATGGAACTACAACTTTTTATAAGGCAGCTCCCGGTCTTTGCTTTTTGACCTGACACGTCGCGCGCTATACGAAGATATTGACTCTCTGTCGAACAATCGAATCCATGGCCACTCTTTCCTAGGCGGCGTTGGTGTTTGCTCAAAGTCTGCATAGGCCCAAGACTTGTCTACGGCGGCATAACCCAAACAAGCTATGCAACATCAAATCCAATTTCTTGCTTTATCGTGTTCATTACCCGCATTCACATGAGGCGGCAAACTTTAATGGGACTCGCCGGACTACCTAAATGATTAAGAGGAGAAGCAACAGCCCCGCGCTTGGAGGGCACCTAGCGAGACTATTGCCAATTGACCATCCAATAGGAGAGAACAAACACGCACGTTCGTTGGGGCGCTCATCTCCTTTGCTCTACGCCCATCGTGCTTTACTTGGCTTGGACAGAATTGGCAATAAATGCCTTGATGCAGCGGTTTGACCCGCTATGGACAAGAGTGGGCTGAAGAAACTAAGACGCAAAGTAAAATTAATCTCCAACCGTCCCCATGGAACGCCAAAGCATTCGACCGTTGCAACGTGGAAACAAATGCAGCGTTAAGCGTCGCGTGCAAAATCCGGCTGGAGAATAAGAGTCAGTCTTTTGGGAAAGTTGTAGATGAGGTCGTAATACTTACAGTCAACATGGCGACAGGTGTCAAGCCTCAGAGACGGTTCTCAAATGCGAAACTGTTCTCGAACTGAACGAAGGGAATGATGAAAGCAAAAGGTACCGCCGCCCTATTGGTCACCTCCGATTGCCCGCAGGGTTTATCAAAAAGTGAACAACGAAACGGGCAAAACAAGACAGCTCTCCCCTAAGGAGTGAGCAAACAGGTACGCCAATGGAGGAGACCGCCCCAACTATTGGAATGGATGTTTTAAGCCTTCACAACCGACTATCCGTCAGTAGGAATAGCGCTCCTGGAAACGATAAGTTCACAACGGGAAATAATTCATGACACTCCAGTGAATGGTGGTCGATTGAGGCAACGTTAAAAAGTATCAATAACCGTTTGTGTGCCAAATGCGATCAATTTGCAAATGCTTCTGCATGACGAAATCCTGGTCATTTTTATGAGCTGGCGAAAGTCAGATAACGGCCAATAATTCGCGGCGCATCTTTTTCTACCCCGAAAGACCAATGGCAGCCCAACCAAGCAGAAAAGAACGAGAGCGAAAGAAAATTGACCTGCAGGCAA